TAGTAATTTCTAAAAGCTACTTAATTACCAGTACTTTTGCCTCTTGCCTCCCAGCCTTGAATCCGTCACCTCTGTTTAACCCTCCTTGGTATTTAAACAGCTAATCTGGTGCTGGTTGCCGAGTTAACAATGTGCAAACCTCTTAAGCAACTTCATCTCGACCTTCACAATTCTGTTTATTTGGCATTTCCTTTTGTGTTTCTGTTCACGAGCTGACTTGGCCTTTGCTAATGATTAAAAGTATTTGCTGAAGTATTTATCGAAGTCTGTAGATAAGAATTTCTGTGAACAGTGTGTCTTGTGACATTGGCTTGTCCCCTGAAGTATAAAACCAACTGAGAAAAGCAGTTTGAAAACAGGTTCTGATCGATACGTATGTATTTGAAAGCATACATGCATTCACTCACTCAGGATTTACTGAGTTTCTACCATGCGCCCAGTTTTGTTCTAGGCAGTGACAAACAAAATCTTTGGCTTCATGGTATCACCATCCTAGTGGGTGAGGGGCAGAGAGACAGACAATAAGGAAGAAAAGCACATTCTATGTCATACGGAGATAACTGCTATGGGGGAAAGATACAAAAGAAAAGGCTGGCAGAGAGTAGGAATTGTGTTTTAGTTACTTTAATTTTTAAAAATTTATTTTGAGAGAGAGAGGAGGAGGGGCAGAGAGAGAAGGAGAGAAAGAATCCCAAGCAGGCCCCAAGCTGTCTGCGCAGAGCCTAGTGCGGGGCTCAGACCCACAAACCATGAGATCATGACCTGATACGGAACCAAGAGTCAGATGCTTAACTGACTGAGCCGCCCAGGTGCCCAGGAATTGTGTTTTAAAATAGGCTGGGCATCCATGTTCACTGCATTCTTACAACAGTCAAGATACAGAAACAACCTTTGATGGATGAATGGATTAAAAAATGTGGTCTATGCACACAATGGAATATTATTTAGTCTTTAAAAGGAGGGAAACCTGCCACTTGTGACATGGACAAATCTAGATGGCATCCTGGTAAGTGAAATAAGCCACACGCAGAAAGGCAAATACTGCCTGATCTCACTTACATGTGGAATCTACATAGTCAAGCTCATGTAAATAAGAGTTAGAAGAGTGCTTAGCAGAGGTTGGGGGAGGGGGAGGTAAAGAGCCATAGGTCAAGGGTACTAAGTTACAGTGATGCAACATGAATACTGCAGATCTAATGTACCACACGTGACTATAGTTAACAATATAGTATTGTATATTGCTAAGAGGGCAGATCATAAGTGTTAACACCACACACACAGACACACACACAGACACACACACACAAATAGGGTGCTTAGAGAAAAAAGCTTATTGAAAAACCTAAACAAGGTAAGGGGTGAGCTACACGGATGTAGGGAACATCCAGGTAGACGAATGTCCAGCAAATTCTGGCAACATCAGGAAGGCCGCTATGTCAGAAGCCAGTGAGGCCAGAAAGAGATCGGGATGCCTGATATTATAGGAGTCATACTTGATGTGTAGGGACTTGACTTCTTCTTGGTGTGAGACAGGAGGCCTTTGACAGGTTTCACGCATACAAGTGGACTGGTGGACTCGTGATTTCAGTGGGGGTCATCTGGCTGTGCGGTGGAGAACAGACTGAGGGAAAACCAAGGGGACCAACTGGGAGGTTAATGGTGGGTTGGCCTGGTGGGGTAGCAGTTGGGGGTAGAGAGAAGAGGTTGGATTCTGGATATGTTTTATTTATTTATTTTTTTAAGTATTTATTTACTTATTATTTTGAGAGTGTGTATGTGTGTGTGTGTGTGTGTGTGTGTGTGTGTGTGTGTGAGCAGGAGAGGCGGAGAGAGGGAGATAGGAGGTCTTAAGCAGGCTCTGCACTGTCAGTTCAGAGCCAGATGTGGGGCTCGAACTCATGAACCACGAGATCACGATCTGAGCTGAAATCAAGAGTTGGATGCTTAACCGACTGAGCCACCCAGGTGCACCCTGGATATGTTTTAAAAAGTGGGCAAGAAGATTTATTGGCAGGTTGGATGTAGGGTGTGAGAGAAAGGAGTTAAGGTTTTCAGTATGTGCATGGGCATGACTGCAAAGTCTATATAAAGCTTAGCATTATCCGAAGGCCTCTGGCTTAATTACTTACTTATTTTTGCTCACCCCAAAGCCCTGCAATGGAAGGCATACAGTTTTGTTCATTGCTGCATGCCTAGTGTCTAGAATAGCCTCTTTCTCAAAAATGAAGAAAGTGGTTATCGTGAGAAATGTGATTTCAGAAAAAATTGTAAAGAGCCTTCTTATTTTCTATCTTCTCTATTTTCAGCTGTGAGCCTGTATTCATGTAAAAATAATACATGTGTTTAATTTATAGAAAACAAAAAAACCCTGCAGAATTATGTGATATAAACATTTAAAAATTGCTTACTAAGACTATTATTAAAAAGTGAAAGCTTCCACATTCTACAGAAAGCATGGTGTTATTTTGAAAGCCAGTGTTCATATGAGTAATGAATCCAAACACTATAAAAAATTAAATCCCAATACTACAGAATAAAATGGCCTCGTTTGATATGTAGGGTCAGTTGTGAGGACAGAAAAGACTTTAAGTACACTACCTGGGGCCAGCCAGTCAACTGTACTGAGTTTCCATTCATTAATCATCTCTTGACTTGATTCAAAAGGAGATTTTTTTTAGAGATGCCAAACTTCCTATAATCAGGATATTTGTATAAATTTTGCTTGAGTTAAGGCTCATGGAATATTGATTCACATATGTATGTGCCTTTAATTTGTGCGTGTGTGTGTGTGTGTGTGTGTGTGTGAGAAAGAGAGAGAGAGAATGAGAGAAAACAGAGCATTGGAGACAGTTGTTTGTTATTGAGAAGAAATGTATAGACATAACTAATCTTGGATGTTTCCGAGTAGAGCAAATAACCCTGGAGCCCCTTCCATGGGTCACAAGGCTGCAGTACATTTTACACATTCTCAGATCCAAAATGCTCTGAAAACTGTAAGCTGTGGGGGGAACTCATCCGGAAGTACAGCCAGACTGACCACAGCTCATGTGTAGTGAACTTGAACTGGGGGCCCTGAAGCTGTGTGGTTTTTGACATATTCCATCTCATGTTCGCTGGTGCCACTGCAGAATATTAATGTGTCTGACCACAGGGTGGTGCGCGGTGTTACATAATACACGCTATAAACACTCAGCCATCGTTCTAAGAATTCTGTTTTCTGAAACACATCTGGCCTCACAGCGTTTGCGTAAAGGGACTGCAGTCCTGTACTGGGCTTGTTCTGGGGCTGCCTCTGCTGGTTTTATCCTTCCTTAAGAAATAAGGCTAATGGTTGTCTCCTGGCCTTGTGAGTACCACAAGGCGGGGTTCCTTTCTCTAGGTGACAGGAGCATTTGCAGAGCACCACCTGTATCTGACGTGTCTGTCTAGCTCACACGTGTGAGCGTGGAGCTTTGAGTAGAAGTGCCGCGCTTTGTGGTGATGAAGCTTCCGGTCCCTTCCTTTCTGGATAGGAAACAACCTTGTGGAAAGGCGGCATGGATCTGGGTGACACTGGGCTCCTGTCTTGTCACCTGTCAGTGGGTATTAGATGGAGACATCCCAGTGATTGGCCAGATGTGTGACTCCGAGACCTACCAAAGACATCCTCTTATCTTTTAGTGATAACAGAGCCCTCTGTGGACAGGATGGACTACTGTGTCGCAGGCAGCGTCAAAGCCGTCAAGAGCCCGATGACTCAGATCAGTGTTGAGTTGGGCTCTCCGCTCCACCGCATTTGGACGGGGCCATCCTGGGCCATCCTGGGCAAGAAGCTCCTCTCTCTAACTCACATGATTCAGCCGAGCTCATAATGAACTTACCATGTCATTTTCTTCCTAGCTTCCTTTTCTTAGGGAAAAGGTGTCCACCCAGTCTGTGATTCCAGGGGGTTCCTAACCCAGGGAATTCTACAACTCACATCCTTCAAATCTTATATTTTCATCTCCCCACCCACAGCTCCCCAAACCTCTAACACACAACTCAGGCTAAAGCACTGGCCAGGGGCTTAGGAAATCTAGGAGAATCTGCAAGACAGATTCTTAGAGTCTTCAGGGACCAGAGAGGTAAAGCACCTAGCATTTCCCCAGTGCAAGGGCCCCCGACTTGTCAGACCTGAGAGGGGGGACGCCCTCATGCACAGCAGAACCCATCGCTGATCAGAGCAGCTCAACTGGCTCTTGCTTCACTATAGGGGCTTCTCAGGAGGGCCCTCCAAAAATTGGAAGGGTATCTCCCTTTCTTCTTCCTGGATTTACCACCTTTGCTCATGGACACTGAGGCAGGATGTGGGCATCTGCGCTGGATATCAGCTGAGGAACTTAACCCTTGGCTCCCCGGGGGGAGAGCGGAGTTTCATATTTGGGTGCCCAGCGTGTGGTGTTGGGGGCGTGTGGGGTTGAAATGGCTCTGGAACATGATGCTATTACAGAAAACACCCAAGCTGCCAGGAGAAGCGGGATCTTTTCACTGAAATTCACAAGGGCCATGGGAAAGGCTGTCATTGGCCAGGCTCCCAGGCCACCTGAACAGGGGGAGAGGATGGGGTGCAAGCCCCGCCCAAGCCCCGGGGGGGGGGGGACGGAGTTGGCACGGATGACTGCTGGTCAGTCCCTGGACGGCAGGCCAGGCATTTCACAGGGGGCAGGAGCTAAGAGGCCCTCGCAGCCGGGCTCCGCACCCCGGTGCAGCGAACTCCAGCACTCCAGCGAACTCGGGTCGGAATTAGAGGCTGGGTTGGAACCTGGGCGAAACAGTTGCGGTGGAGGAAGATAGCAGAAAGCTTAAATCTGGGAGAAGGGGCGCAGGGTCTTGGGGTCCAGCGTACGGCCCCGCCGGGCGCCACCAGAGCCCGGAGCGAGGCGTCCTGTTGGAAGGGGTGCAGTGGCCTCCACGCCCAGGGCCACTTGACCCATCCGCAGTGTCAAGTTAGGGTCCCCGGTGGAGGACAGGGATCTGCGGCCATGGCCGAGGCCGTGGAGCTGGAGGGGGGCCCCCCGGGTCCCCAGGGGCCGCCTGAGGCCCCAGCGCCTGTGGCGGAGGAACCTGGCGAGTCGGGGGCCGCGGGCCGGGAGGAGGCCGGCGAGGGCGCCGCGGAGGCGCCGAGGGGCGAGGGGGCGGGCGCGGCCGCGGTGAACCCGGCGGAAAGCGCCGACCCGGGCGGAGGAAAGCGCGAGCCGGAGCCCGGCGCCGACGGTGGCCCGGCGGCCGAGACGCGGGGCGCGAGGGCGGCGCAGGGCGACGCGGAGGCCGAGGAGGGCGCCCCGGGGGGCGCAGACGCCCCCCAGGGAGAGGAGGGGGAGATTGGCGCGGAGCAGGTGGAGGAGGCGAGCCCGGGGCGCGGCGCGCAGGGCGAGGCCGCGAGCGAGGTTCAGGGGGGCCCCTGGGAGCCTGAGGCCCCCGGGGCGAAAGAGAAAGCGGAGCAAGGGCCGGAGGAACAGGGAGGCAGCGCGCCGGGGGCGCCGGGGCCCAGCATGGACGCAGCGGGGCCGGCGGGAGGGACGCGCGGGACCGAGAGTGAAGCCCAGGACGGAGGGGACCGCGGCCCGCAGCCCCAGGCCGAGGCCACTGAGGCCGCAGCGGCGGAGACTGGCGGGGGCGGCCCCGGGGAGCTTGCAGGGGAGCCTCGGGGTGCAGCCGACGAGGCGGGGGTCCCGGGGACAGAGCAATCGGAGGAAGTGGCCCCCGGGGACGCGAGGGCGGACGCTGTCGAGGGAGGGGACCCGGGTGAACCCCAGGAGGAGGTGGGGGAGGCGGAGGAGGAGAGGCGAGAGCGCAGCCCGGAGGGGCCAGGCGAGAAGGTCGCAGCGCGGGCCGACGAGGGGCCCCCCGACAGCAGCGCGCATCCGGGGGCGGCCGCGCCACCTGGGGCCGCGGAGCCGGAGGCCGAGCTCAGCAACCACCTGGCGGAGGAGCGCAGCGTGGAGGGCGGGGAGGAGACCGCGCGCGTGAACGGCCGCGGGGAGGACGGCGAGGCGTCCGAGGAAGGGGCCTCGGGCCGGGAACACGACATCACGCTCTTCGTGAAGGTAAACTGAGCTTCCCCCAACTCTTAGCACAACCCCCTCCCATTTGTAGTCTCCGTCTTCCAGGTGTCCCGAGTGTCAAGAGTGTCACATCCATTCACAGGAGGGAGGCCGGACATCCTGGGCGTCTTGGAGAGATTTAAGGAGCGTTTCAGTGAGACTCGGTGGCTTGCAAACGGAGAGGTTGGGTGGAGGTAGCTGGGGAAATGGTGATGCGCATCGAGCAACCCACCGTCTTTTGTTTTGAAAATCCTAACAGGCCCTTCTCCTCCGGAGGTTATTGAAGAATTAACTTAAAAAAAAAAAAAAAGCAACACACCCTATTGATGTTCAAAGCAATTCACACCAAAAGAAGCTCTACTACTTGCGGGGGGGGGGGGGCGAGGGGTAAACAGGTTGTAATGTGAGAAGTAGCCCCAGGGCTCAAATTTCAGCCGCCCTGAGCCGGCCAGTGTTCTCAGCTCCAAAAAAAGGTATCTCTCTTTGGTAGGTAGAATCGACGAGGTCTGTTTGGAAGGAAAAGGGAAATTTATTTAAATATTAGAATATTTTTTGAGCGTTTTCACATTCATTCTGGAAGTTTACAAGATGTGATGACTTGAACATCATCTGCCTTTATGTCATATTTCAAACTTCCCATGGAAAGAGAGCAACGCTTTTGTTAAAGAAGCTGTAGGGTACGACTGAGGAAGTTTTGAGTTTAAATAGGCATTTCTACACGGCATCAAAAAGGAGAGGCGATGTCCAGTGGTAGCCGCCTCCTCGTCCTCCATGGGGATCTTGTTTAAAAAAGCCCTTTCTGAAGACCTTCGGCCAGACCAGGAAAGCAGCAGATAATAAGGCCAAGAATGTGCGTTGCATGTTGAATCGTAATCCTTCCAAAATACCTCCAGGCTTATAGAAGCCAGTTAGGACCTAAAGCTCCTTGACGGGAATGTAAGCAAATTCTAATAAGCAAAAAGAGAAATGTTTCCAAAGTGATTAACATCAGAATTTCAGGAATTGCTTGGGTGACGAGCGGGTGAAGGAGGAGAGGGCATGTGTTTCTTCACTAGGGGAAGGGGCTGCTACAGAGCGTTTTTGAAGACCCTGGGGCCTTTTAAGAGTATGCATTGGCGTCGAACCTAAGGGCACAGCCCCTCGGAAGGGCCTGTGGGAGCCAGAAGTCTGCAGGGAAGAGGAGGGAGGAGGGGGAAGGGGGAAGAGCTGAATGCCCTTGGTCTTGTGCCCCAGATCCGCTCTTGATTTAAGGAATTCCCATTGCTCTGGTCTCATGGCCACCTGATTCCAGAACATCTTTCCAACCTCTTGTTACAGTTTTGACATACAGTAACACCTTCCTACCTGTCTGCCTGTTTCCATTCTCCCCTCTCTCTGACCTAGGCCCTTGGTGATGGCGGGTGAGCTAGGAAATAATATCTGATCACTTTGTTTGAACCTGTAAAATTCTTCAGTTTATTACAGAATTTCAGAGACATCTGCACTCCTTAGCCCCGCCACAAGGCCCCTCGTGGTGTTAGTCTTGCTTCTTTGGTATTGTTTGAATGCCCCCCGCCCGTTACCCACTATGCGAGCCATATCGAACGACTTACCATTCCTTGAGCGAAACACGTTCTTTCCTGCCTGGAGATTTTGCAGGGGCTGTGTTTTCTGCCTGAATCAAGTTTTTCCCCATCTCGACTCTCTCCTTGTCCCCTGCCCCTCTATCATTGGGGTGTCTAGATTCATCATGGGGGAGTCATCTCCTCTGGGGAGCCTTTTCCAACCCCATTCTGGGTTGGGTGTCCTTCTGCTGAAGGTCCATTCACATCCTGTGTGTTTCATCTCTTCCCTTGACTGTGCGAAATTCTTCCCTCCATGTGAGCACAGATTTGGAACAAGATGGAGGTTCGGATGGGGGGCTGTCTACACAGGGTGGTATATACCATGGTGGCCAATAGTGTGGACACCACAGCCAGGGGGATCAAATCCTGGCTCTGCTGCTCTCTTGCAGTGTGACCTTGGGCATCCTACTTAACCTTTCTATGTCTTTATTGCTTATGGATAAAGTGTGGATAATAATAGTACCTACTGGTGAGGTTGTTGTGGGGATTCAAGAATTAGATTATGTAAAGCACTTAGAATAGTACCACGGCCTGGGCTAAGCATAGTGCATCCTGTGTTCTTGGGGCGCCTGGGTGGCTCAGTTGGTTAAACGTCCAACTTCGTCTCAGGTCATGATCTCATGATTTGTGGGTTTGAGCCCCGCATTGGGCTCTGTGCTGACAGCCCAGAGCCTGGAGCCTGCTTCGGATTCTGTGTCTCCCTCTCTCTCTGTCCCTCCCCTGCTCAGGCTCTGTCTCTCTGTCTCTCCCCAAAATAAATAAAGACATTAAAAAATTTTTAAAAAACCCCAACCCTGTGTTCTTATTGTTACATCTGCTTAGCTCCCACAAACTTCTATTGATTTTGCACAGAAATGGTCCCCTGTCCATTTCATCCCTCCCCCTGCCCCCAACTATTTTTTAAGGGAAAATCTCTCTAGCTATCTAATTACCTCCATTCTCTGGGGATAGGAATGTTTTGGAAAGAAAAAATAAATTTTTCTTCTCAGATTCTGCTGGGGAGATTTTGCATAGCAGAGGCAAGGGGCTTGTCGTTAATAACTTACTTTTTCTTTTTTTATGTTTATTTATTTTTGAGAGAGAGAACAAGCATGTGAGCAGGGGAGGGACAGAGCCCAATAGGAGGCTTGAACCCACAAACTGTGAGATCATGACCTGCGCCGAAGTCAGATGCTTAACTGACTGAGCCACCCGGGATCCCCCGTCCGGACTGTTTTATTCTGACATGATCAGCTTGGTGATCATTTGTGCCTGCTCCCGCTCTTGTTTTCTTAAAGAAACAGATCTCCAGGGGCACCTGAGTGGCTTAGTTGGATAAGTGGCTAAGCATGTGGCTCTTGATCTCAGCTTGGGTCTTGATCTCAGGGTCGTGAGTTCAAGCCCCACATTGGGCTCTGTGCTGGCTGTGAAGCCTACTTTAAAAAAAAACAAAGAGTGAAAAACCAGATCTCCAATCAGGGAGATTGGTTTTTAAACACTACTGTTTGATATAACTTCTGAGGGTCACTTCAGTTGTGCCTCATACGATTGTTAAAGCACCCCCTTGTTTTTTTCATCCTACAAATCATTCTAGTTAAAAACAAAAAAGACTCCAGGGTAGAAATCAAGCAAAAACCTTTCATTTATTTATTTTTAAAAAATATTTGTTTGTTTGTTTATTTAGAGAGTGTGCACACTAGCAGAGGAGGGCAGAGAGAGAGAGAGAGGGAGAGAGAAAATTCCAAGTAGGCTCCACATTGTCAGCACAGAGCCTGGCCCGGGGCTTGATCCCACGAACCAGATCATGACCTAAGCTGAAACCAAGAGTCCGATGCTTAACCAACGGAGCCACCCAAGGCGTCCCAAGCAGAAACCTTTTAGATACTTGTATCTTTTGAGTTGGCAAATTCCTACTTTTGATTTAAAATCCTTAAGTGAGTTCAAAATAGGATTTCTCTGCCAGCTTTCGCTTTCTTTAGGTTCCTTCTTTGGGCTCTACTCCATAGTAGACATCTGACCTTCTGGGTTTTGTAAACATGTCAAGTTTTCCAATGCCATTACTGGAGTCCAGAATTCACAGGTTTGTTCTTTCAGGGAGAGCGCCGCAAGCATTTCAAACATTCCCTTTGCCTTCATATGACAGTCTGGCAAACACAGTTTTAATTAATTGGCCCATATTTTATTTGTGAATTTTTAACGTTTGCGTTTTCTCTCTGTGTTTTAAAAATACATATACTGGTTGCAAACGTACCACAGAGTAAGGACACATGACCCAGTAACATGTGCTAATAAAATCTGCTTCTACTTTTTGCCACCTGGTAGTTTATAGTCCCCATCTTTGTGAAAATTCTCATCTTACTCATTTGCCATTTCATTTTATTCAGTAAGTATGCAAGAATGTATTCTTGTAAAAAAGCCAAGAACGTATAGAACAGGCCCAGGAAGCTTCCTTGAATTATCGTATGGTAAATTAATTGCTGATCATGCTAATTCATACTTTTATTTTTTACAAAGGAGTATTAATTATTTGTCATCAAATTATAGAGTAGCCCTGCAGAATATTTAGTAAGAGAGAGTCTTTTCTTCTTTACTCATAGCAAAGGGAAACAACATAATAATGTACCAACATGACAATAACAAACAACAAAACAAAATACTGACAACAAAGGATAAAGTAGGGACTTCACCAGCTGTGGGGACTTAGTCACTGAGGAAGTCTTGCTTACAGCTTTGGGGCTTCTAACCCAGTATATGTGCTTTGAGGCAGGGTCTAGGCGTGGGACAATCTGTGATATAGATTTCTTGGCAATTGTCACATGACTTAAAAAAACCGCAATGTGACCAATGAATAATCCTGGGCCAGAGTCTAAGAATTTCTGAAATTAGGTTTTTGGACACCATCTATTTAACTATTAACATGCAGGTGCTGCGGAACTCAAAAGCTTGCATTTTTCGTCGCATTTGGGTCTCTAGAGAGGTGGATTTGGTAGAACAAAGTACAACTCAAGAAAGTTGTGACCTTTGAAGAAGCGTTGTTGTTGAGAACTGCCCCCCCCCAACGTAAATAAATACATACATAAATACATAAATAAATGGAGGCAGCCAAGCAGCACCACACCACATGACTGTGGTAAGAAAGGAGGGGTAGGCCCAATGTTCATAGCAGCACTCTCAACAATAGCTAAAACATGGAAAGAGCCTAAGTGCCCATCAGCGGACGAATGGATCAAGAAGATGTGGTTTATCTATACCATGGAATACTACATGGCAATGAGAAACAATGAAATCTGGCCATGTGTAGCAACATGGATGGACCTTGAGGGTGTTATGCTGAGCGAAATAAGTCAGGCAGAGAAGGACAAATATCATATGTTTGCACGTATAGGAGGATTAGGAGGAACTTAACTGAGGACCATGGGG